CCAAATCCAACTCACGGGGTCTCCCAGAGCGATCCTTTTCATCGAGCGAGAAGTCATCTTTTTCGAAACGATGGAACCAATTGCGAATAGTATTGTAGTGAGGGGCATGTGTGTTGTACACATTCTTCAAGAAAGTTTCCGAATCCTTCATCGTGGTGTGAGATAGGAAGAGGTAAATCAAAACATGTCTGATGTGAATAGCAGTGGGAACAAACATATCGTTTCAATTACAGATGAGGAGCAGGGAAGGAAATGGGGACTTGTTTATATGGAAGGTTCTTATCACCTTGTTATTCACTAGAGTCGATATCATACACAGCCTCCATATACGAGAACAGTGATTAAACAAACAGAGTGACAAAGACTTTCCCGCCAACCTAATAGTAGGACTCCCACGATGTCAAGTTTGAGCTAACGTTTCTTGGTCTTTATGCAAGACATCAAAAATGTGTCAACTGATAAAATGTCTGTGATTTTATGATAAGCAATTTATCAGTTGAAAAGTTTTTGATATATTTTTCAGGAAGCGAGAAAAATTGACCCGAATTTAAAAGTGAGGGCCCTTCTATTATAGGTTCTACGGTAGTCAAGATTTCTAGGCTTGGAGAAACTGGTGAAACCGAAAAAATGTAAAATAGAATTCCGATTTGTTAAAGTTTTATGAGAAAAATGCAGGTTCAAAATTGGAACTCATTCAATTCAATACCGAAAAAATAACAAAACTGGTTCAACTTACATTAACTATCGGAAAATCCCTTGAACTTTTTAAAAACAAAAAATTGAATTACATGGAGTTTATTTGGCAGTTCTGAATAACTCGATATAAATGCTAGGAACCGAAAACCGTCTAATTTAAGAATTTTCTGTAATTGAAGCCCGTCTTGAGAAGGAGGTTGAAAAATAGAAGCCCTTGGTCTCTATTAGAGAAATTACGGTACCTTGGCTCCTATGCAAGATATCAAAAATGTGTGAACTGATAAAAACATTGTGATATTATGATAAACAAATTATCAGCTTACAACTTTTTTATATTTATTACAGGAACCGAGATAAATTGGCTCAAAGTTTTAAGTTAGGGGACCCTTATATTAAAAGTCCATGGTATACTTTTTTTGTGTTTTTAATAATTTCAGAAAGTTCCCATTCTTCCAGCTACACCGTCATTCGTTCTTCTAATCCACTCGTACCTTACTTTCTCGTTTTCTAGTGTCCTTGAGGTTCACCTAGACTGTGCAAGTAGACAAAAAACTGGGTGCTCAAACACCCTCCTACACTGATCTGATCAACAATCATATCATCAAGGCAGCCCCGTGAG